TAAAGCTAGAGTCTCCTAAGTATATATCTTTCTGCTTCAAAATGATTTTCGTATTTATATATATATATACTAGTTTTTACGCGCATTGCGCGATTGGGATAATGCCTAATGTTTTTTTAAATAAGTATTTAAAAGTATATCAAAGGCAATATTATATTGGAATTGTTCATGCATAGATAATTGAATGTTGAATTTGCGTATTTAAATAGGTAATTCTAAGTTTACAAATGCAAGATAATATAGTCAAGATTGATTTTAATTGTCAATAAAATAATTGTATAGGTATGTTTGGAACCAAAATATGGGACATAAGGGAGAGCAAATAAAAATTAGAGCATAAAATATTAAATACTTCCTCCGTCCCATTTTGTTTGTCTGGTTCGGTTAACGAGGCTTGACTGAAGCTATTTTTACTTTAATTTTTTATAATATTAAGTTTATTTTTAATATATAAAATTTATATATTTAGAAACTACATTAAAAGTACTATTAAACATAAAAAATCAAATTTAAAAATAATTAAAAATTACTAAAGAAAATAAGCAACGAAGAAAGAGTTGGATTGACCAATGAATAGTAAACAGGACAGGCAAAATGGGACAGAGGGAGTATATACTAATATTGAAGAGCTAACGGCCGATTCCCAAACAAGGACATTGTGAGGTAGTTTTCCACTTCAATTTGTAGTGTGATTTAAATTTTGTCAATAAATTCCCCAAGTAGTTAATATGATTGGCTTAATTATATATTTTTTTAATTTTTTAAAACAATTATTATTATTATTATTATTATTATTATTATTATTATTATTATTATTAAATATATGTATACCCTTAGGTCATTTTACATGTTAATCTAAACAGTTAATTTTTTCAAATATCATTTTTACCAATCGTTGATATAATTTGCTGGTCAAATCCGCTAATATAATTCACTAACGGCTGATTGTCAAACAAGGACATTGTGAGGTAGTTCTCACTTCAATTTGTTGTGTGATTTGAATACTCTCTTTGTCAACAAATCCCTCAAGTAGTTAATATGATTAGTTTTATTAATTATTTTTTTAATTTTTTCATGGTATTAATAAAATAATTGGTAAATAAATATATAGCATTATTTTGTATTATACCTAGCTTTGATATTTAATTAAAAGATAGTGCACAAAAAAATATAATAGACAATGTAATGAATATAATCAATTGATGAATTTGAATGTAAAGAATTTTTACATTGGAGAAATATAAAGACAATATAACTAATAAAATTATTTTTCTTAATTAATTTATTGATAATGAATAACTTTTTTTTAATAAAGACATTGTAATGACAATGTAGAGAATATAATCAATTGATGAATTTGAATGTAAAGAATTTTTATATTGGAGAAAAATAAAGACAATATAAATAATAAATTATTTCTCTTATTTTTTTTGAATGTTACAATTATTTCTCTTATTTAATTTATTGATAATGAATAGTTTTTTTTTTTGTATAAAGATATTATAGACACATAACATAATTCTAAATTAAGGAAATGCATATGTATTATTTTTTGTTGTAGCTACTAAATTATTATTTAAGTTAATAAGAATAAAATAGAGTACTAACTATGCCAACTTTGATTGGGATGGAGTTCGAACCTAAGACCTTTATTGTTGAAATCAATGAGTAAGTTAACGGTGAACTAACAGAAATTAACGGAAAAGATAATATTTAACGGAAAAGTTAACGGATATTCATATTCATTAAGGATAAATTAGGAAATCTTAAGAAAAAATTAAAAACTGATCAATTTGAGCCATTCATTTGATTAAAAAATTTGACCGTCATTTTTTCTACCCATTATAGGCCTAACTCTCTTGGGCTCTTATTAATAGTATATATATATATATATATATATATATATATATATATATATATATATATATATATATATATATATATATATATATATATATATTTACCTATATTGTATTTCAACGCGTTGGAGTGGGTTACCAGCATCATTCGCTGAACAGATATATTTGGCTTTCAGGCACAGATGAGTAGACCTCGGAGCGCGCTAGAGATCCAAAGCGTAGATTAGTAGTTTTCCTTTCGGCCTGCGTGCCATGATGATGTATTGACAAAGCTTTGAGGATATTTAGTTAGTTTAGCCTGTGCATCTGCGTTCTCCAGCTCAGATGTGGCATAGCACCCCGCACTCTTATGTTTAGTAATGGTCCGTTTTGGGATTTAATGAGAATTTACCTTTATTATATAAGTTTTAAAAGTTTCAGAATTTTGGGGTGTTACAAGGGTGGCAACTTCGGAGGCGGGGGTTAACCCTGATCAGATTGTTGAGGCGGGGTTGCCGGAGGTAGGACGTCGGGAGGAGCAGCAGGTTTTGGTTGCGGCTTCTAAGTGTCGGCGGGAAACCTCGGCTGGCTCTAGAAGGCCGGGTTCGGGGAGTGGTGATGTTACAATGTCCGAGGTTCCAAAAAACTTGCATGCGGCGGGTTCTGTTTCACAGACCCGCCCAACCCAATGAGTACCAATAGCATAATCATGAAATTTGAATTTGAATTTAAAATTTAATTGGTATTTGAGTTTAAACTTAAAGTCTAAATATTTCTAACCCTCACATTAAACTTGAATATGAATTAACACTAATAGTTACAAAATTAAATTTCAATTGATACAATAGATTACAACGATAATACTTAATTAAGTACTCAAAATATTGACCTAAAAATAAGGAAGTACACTAGAATTTTAAGAACATGTTAGCAAAATTTTTCTAGAAAAATTGACAGAGACTGAGACTTGAAATTTCATTTTGTTCTTTTTACTCTTCAAAATATTCTACCAACACTACTATTTATAGGGGATTAGACATTGAAAATCATGACATTTGAATTTAAATTTAAAATTCAATTTGTAACTCCTACATTAAACTTAAGTTTAAAGTCTAAATATTTGGCTAATCAGATATACTTCTACACGTGTACGCTTCTCTGTAGACCTCCGAAACCATCGAGTGCATGAAAGACACGTGGTGTACATGCCGACCTCCCGACATGTGTCTCATCCAATCTCCTATAAATACACCGTTAGACGCTTGTATAAAGGACTTTTGGGCTCTCTCTCTAAGACATTTATGTGCTCTGGAACCTCCAGCTCTCGATCGTAATTCCCCGAGCCCTTGTAATAACCAAATACTCTTCACACAATAAAACATACGAATACGTACACCCGGTGAAATTTATCACATCAATGCCAATTTTTGAACGAACATTTGATGCATCTAAGTTATGATGAGTACACACGAGGTCAAGTCTACCAAAACTTTTTTTTTTTTAAAACTTTATGGTATACTTTAAAAATCAATTTCTCATTCATCTATTATTCTTTTTGGGTGTATAAATGCTCAAAATTTTTCACTAAGAAAAATCTAAATCTACTCTAACTTGACTCAAATCGATACCAAATCGTACTCAAAATATTGCTTTCAAAATTATCATTTAAATATCATTTTTTTTTCTAATTTGTCAAACATATATAACTTAACAATTGAAGCATGTGCTCCATCTCAACCAAAAGCCTAAGCTGATAGTTAGATTGCACATTGATGGCTATATTCTCACATTAACTAAACTCATTATATTCAAACTAAGGTTTACTTAAGATGTAGGTATTCCACTTTGTTTTGAGTTGTATAAGAATGAGTTTTGTTCAACTATAATTGTCAAATTAAAGGAATGAACACGGTGTATAATTTGTCACCACTCATGAGTAAGAGTGTATGACCCGTTCAAAGCTTCAGCAAATTGAAGTCAGTCAAGGATATGAAGATCTAGAGAAAGAGGCAGTTTAATTTGCAGTCTATATATATCATTATGCACCAACTTCCATACCGACAAAACCTATCAACCACCTATATATGATTAATTTCCATGACTTAGTTTGTATTCATTCAATTTCTTGGTCAATATTTTCATCACAGTCCATTAATACTCGCCGTTTTATTTTACCGATCTTGTTTAATTTTATGTATTGATTAAATAATTTTTTAGAACAATTTTAACAGGATTTTAGAGAGTGTGTGTGAAACGCTCATTAGCGCGTGTGCATAAATAGATACTCTCCTTGAGGGAAGGTCACAAGATGGAACCCAGATGGGCTGTATTAGTTAGAGAAAATATAGAACAGATACTACCTTGTAATAGAATCAATAATATTCAAAAAAAATAAAATAAAATACTCTCCTATTTCAGGTTTTTTTTTTTTCTCACTTCTTCCTCCCCTCCCCCTCCTATAAACAAAAAACTCATCATCCATTATTAATGCTCTTACTTTTTTTAAAAGCATTTTTTATTTTTTATTTTTTATTTTTTGTATTTAGTATTACATTCTTAATGTAGTTTCTAAAACTAAACTTAATAATATGATAAAAAAAATTGAATTATAAATCATTTTAGTCAAGTCTCATTAACTAAAAATATATAAAATAAAATATTTATGTGTTCCATTGTCACTTAGATATTTCATTCATGACAATATGTATGATGAATTTAACTTGTTAAATGAAAGAGAATAATGTACACAATACTTAATATTTATTTATCCCAATTTTCATATTTTTTCCTAAAAGCACAAAACATGCATCTGCATGTTGAAGACTTGAAGGTGTTTTCCCCCCTCCCTATTGACCTATCCTACCATTATATACCTACGTACCTTTAACTCTTTAAGTCAACCGCAGCCTGGCCTGCATATAGTATAAAATTAAAGTAAGTTTCCTGGAAACCTTAAGCTTGCACAACTTTCTTCCACATTTAACGTTAATTCAATTCATGTACATGGTACATATATACTATATACACACGCATCAATATGCATGTGTCTCTCTCGATCTCTCTCTCTCTCTGTATATATATAATATATATTATCTGATCTGCTTCAATTCTCAAGAACGGTCGATCTTCTATCTGTCTTCATCATATCACATATACATACACTGAGGAAATTCTGCAGGTCTGATATTCCATTGATCAGTCGAAGTTAAATGTGCACTGCAATAATCCGCCTCTTGATCCTCGTTATGTCAGTAATTGCACTGAGTTTCGGCGGTGAACCGGCGGCTGACGGAGGAAGCTGTGGACCATCGTATCCGGCGAAGTTCGAGGTTGGATTGGTTGTGGACGAGCGATCTCCGGTGGGGAAGGTTGTGAGGAAGACAGTTGAAATGGCAGTTGATGAGTTTTACGGTATAAATACTGATTATGAAACCAAGATTAATCTTCACCTACGGAATTCCTCCGGCGACCCATTGCTTGCTTTCGCCAACGGTGAGCTTAAATTATTTGTTTCACAAATAATAAAACTAAGAGTGTGTTTAATTGATTTAAACATTAAAATGAATGATAATTAATGTGAATCAAATACGTGGTAATGTTAATATAGAAATCATTATCTTTGGTAGCAAATAAGAATGAGAATTAAAATAAATAAATTTAAAAAAATAAATATAAATATAAATATAAATATATATATATATATATATATATATATATATATATATATATATATATATATAATACATATATGTGTATATATTAACACTCATTTTATACGACCCACATCTATCCCTCCTTCGTCTCCGGGTCGCCACCCCAATTTTTTTAAATTTTACTTTTTAATAAAAATTATTTTAAAAATGTCAACTCACTATCCATATAAATAAACAACGGGAAAAAATGGTTGTTAACTTACTATTAGGTAAAATTGTATATATTTGGAGTGATCAATGATTCAATTTCACTTTCTTTTTTCATTTAGTAGCTTAATTGCATTTTCAGGTTAAGTCAGTGTTCAATTTGAACCTTATTCTTGTAATTTATTTAAAAATTAGTATTATTTAATAAAAAAATCCAAAAACTATTTTAAACAAAATGTAAAGTAAATATGCTACTCCGTATTAAATGAGACCGAGTGAGCCTATACTCAATTCGAAAACTGAGTCTATCCTCCACCCAGACATTTTGTAAGGGATCGAAGTTAAAATTGTTGCAAAAGTGGATCTGTAAATGCATTGCCGTCGTAAAAATGGTGTAACTTTAGTATGCCTTATTTTGGAAAAGCTGACGTTAAATATCACATTCTTGAAGTATATATGTTGGGGCGGGGAAGTTGGATGACATTACTAAGTCTGAAAACTGTTCGACGAAATGCGCCATATAATATTTATATCCCGGTGGATCAACATGATCTGTAGAAACCTCAGTAAATCTTGATGCTACTTTTTGAACTGTTTCATAAGGTACTTTTATTAATCTTAAGGGTTCTTTAGAGTAAAAGTAGAAGAATCTTTTTACAAGTGATTTTACTCAGAAAAAGTTTAAGCTTTACTTCTTTAGTGCTAAAAAGTTCTGGCTTTATGCTACACAAGAAGAGCAGACAATCTGCAGATACAGTTTTACCATTTTGGTGCATGACTAATAATACATTTGCATTGCAGCTGTAGACCTTTTGGAGAATGTTAAGGTGGGGGCAATTATTGTACCAGAATTGTGGAATGAGGTGACACTTTTTGCCAGGCTAAGTGATAAAGCTAGAGTTCCCATGTTTTCTTTTTCTTCAGTACTGTCCCCAAATGCATATCCTTATTTTGTTCAAATATCTCAAGATGAGGATACAGGACTGGAAGGCATTGTTGCATTCGTAAAAAGAGCTAATTGGAGCAATGTCGTACTTATCCATGATGGAACCGAGTATGGGATGAAAGATCTCTCCCGCATGATTGATCTCTTCCAAGAGGTTGGTGTGCGTATGGTTTATAAGACTGCCATTTCACCTTTGGCTGAAGAACATCAAATTATAGAAGAGCTAAATAAGCTCAAGAAAATGGAGACATCAATTTTCATTGTGCACCTGTCAGCTTCCTTGACACCTCTCCTTTTTGAAAATGCAAAAAGATTAGGATTGATGGCTAAAGGTTATGCTTGGATCGTATCGGATAAAACTATGAATTTCCTGCATACCTTTGATGGTGCTATTATTGAATCAATGCAGGGATCATTGGGATTCAAACCTTACATTCCAGCATCAGGCAAGCTTCAAAATTTCACTTTGAAGTGGCTTAGAAAGTCCAATATAGAAGCTTCTATGGAGTTGAATGTATTTGGTTTATGGGGATATGATGCAGTATGGGCACTAGCAATGGCCATTGAAAAGGCCGGGAAAAGAATCCCTCCAACTGAAGAACGATGCAGGGACCTCCTGAATTTGACAAGCATTGCCATTTCAAGTGATGGTAGCTCATTAGTACTAGAGGAGGTATTGAATAGCAGGTTTGTAGGTTTGTCTGGTGAATTTCAATTTCAGAATGGGAAACTTGCTTCCAAAACATGTGAAGTAGTAAATGTTATAGGCCCCGGTGGGAGAAGAGCTGGGTTTTGGACTATGGGTGTTGGATTCACCATTCAAACACCCTCAATGAATTTTTCTAGTGACCTTGATTCTATTATTTGGCCAGGGCCATCTTTGACTATTCCAACGAGAGATTGGCTGGGTAAAATGCTTAGAGTTGCTGTACCTTGGAAGCAGGTGTTTAAGGAATTTGTACAAGTCCATCATGATGTTAGATCAAATACAACTAGTATTAAAGGCTTTTCTGTGGATGTGTTCCTTGCTGCCGTTGAGAGCTTATCCTATGAACTATCCTTTGAATTTGTCCCATATTTGGTTGTGGATGATAATGGAACGCGACATTCCAATTACAATGAGCTTGTTTATCAGCTCTACCTTCAGGTAATCCCGCTTTCCAAATGTTTGTGTCAAATTGGGTTTTCAAGGATAGAATATAGATCATTAGATCTATGCCCCTCCTAACCATTTAGTAAAATCTTAGTTGAGGCTGTTTCTCAAACTCCAACATTTTTTTTTTTCTAATTTTCTTTACAAGGACAAGATTTGCTTCTTTTTTCTTTTTCTTTTTTTGGATGATGAGGGAAACCCGCAACCACTATCTGTGGGTGTGCATTGGTTTCCAGATGTTTATGTCAAATTGGGTTTTCAAGGATAGAATATAGATAATTAGATCTATGCCCCTCCTAACCATTTAGTAAACTCTTAGCTGAGGCTGTTCCTCAAATTCCAATATTTTGTTTTCTAGTTTTCTTTACAAGGACAAGATTTGCTTCTTTTTCTTTTGGATGATGAGAGAAACCCGCAGCCATTATTCGTGGGTGTGTGGGTAAACCCCACCTTGTGACCCTAGCCGGCAAAAGATCACAAGGAGGTAACCAGCCTAGGTTACCCATAGCTGACCGGCTGAAACCAAGAAGGTCAATAGGCGGCTCTTATTGGGAGTCAAACTTGGAACCTTGTAGTTACCAAACCAACAGCTTGACCAACTTGGCTGGGTTGCACTTAATCTACTTCATTTTCATTTCATGAGATACATACATGTATTTGTTAGTGCTTAACATTGTAATCCTATGGATGGCTTAGAAATTTGATGTTGTCGTGGGAGACATAACTATCACTTCAAATAGATCATCGTATGCGGACTTTGCAATGCCATATACTGATCTTGGAGTTGGAACCGTAGCAAGATTGAGCAATACAGGACCATGGTTCTTCTTGCAACCGTTCAACATAGATCTATGGATGATGATAGCAGGTTCCTTCATTATGACTGGTGTTATTGTTTGGATGATTGAACACGAAAGGAATGAAGAGTTTCAGGGTTCACTGGGTCAGCAAATTGGAACAGTGTTGTGGTTTGCCTCTTCAACTCTTGTTTATGCACACAGTAAGTTCTTTACTTTATTACCATCCTCTAAGTTTATGTTGTGGAAACAGAAATTAACTCTTAGTTGTTTACTCTTAATGGGAATGAGTGAAAAAAAAAAAGTAATTCATGTTTTTTTATTATTACTGTCATTGCAGGAGAAAGATTAGTAAGTAATTGGTCAAGATTTGTAGTAAGTGTCTGGTTGTTTGTAGTGCTCATAATCTCTTCGAGCTATACAGCAACACTAAGTTCACTTTTGACTTTGGAACGGATCAAATTTGCAAAAGGGGACTATTTAGGTTACCGCTATATTTCAGAAGGAGTTGTTTTTAACAACACGAATTTTGCTGACGCCAGGCTTAGACGCTACCACTCTCCTGAAGATTATCGCGAAGCTTTGTCAAGAGGTAGTGAGAAGGGTGGTGTTGGAGGTATAATGGATGAAATTCCTTATCTCAAGTGCTTTCTTGCTAAGTATCCATCAGAATATGCACTGGTTGGAACTGCACCAACTACAAATGGCTTTGCTTTTGTAAGTAACCTTCTCCTCTATTATTTGTAACAAATTCTTAGTGAACAATACAAGAGTTTTCAGTGATGACATTGACATACCTCTGTGACATCTGCAAATTATAATGTGGACAACAGATAAATGTTCATTTTTAATGTACTGAATGTTCATTTTTTAGATAATAAACCTTCAGTACACAAAAAATGAATATTCAATATACTAAAAATGAACCTTTTGTTAGTGGTTCATCTACCATGGTCTATGGTATAATGATTGTGTGGCGTCTTAGCAGGCGTTTCAGAAGGGTTCAGCCTTGGTCCCAGAGATCTCAGAAGCCATTGTCAGGCTTAGAGAAGAAGGAAAGCTTAAAGAGTTGGAGGATAAGTGGTTCAAGAATCAGTCATCTTTGTTGCCTCTTGCCAATGCAGGGACTCAACTCAATACCCTGAGCCTTGATAATTTTCGAGGATTGTTTCTTGTAAGTGGGACTTCGAAAGCTATTGCTTTCATTGTGTTTACTATTTTTGCACTAAACAAAAAGCTATCCATCTATCATCATATTCTTAAAATTGCCTTGGGAGGGAACTTAGCTTTTATGATAAGGTATCTCTTGCCTGCAAATGCAATTGATGGCATCAATGCATGACGATCCGTATGCATCACATGCAGGTAGCCTTCTGTTCTTTTTTATCTCTATCGAGATTTGTACACTAATCTAACCAAATAATGAAATAGCATTCATATTATGTTCTTTTCTTTTTAGAATACTATTCCTCTTTTCCCTATTTGTGAACCAAATGCCACGTAAATGATAGGAAAAATTGTAATTTATGCCCCTCACAAATATGTCAGTTATCAATGTCACCCCTAAATTATTAGTGGTGTAAATGTTACCCTTCAATTTTCAAAATGTGACATATATTACCCTCCCCTGAATTATTAGTGGTGTAAATGTGGTTACCCGCCGTTTTCCCTGTTCGAAGACCACGTTTTTTCCCTCCATTTTTCTTTCTTCGTTGTCCTCCTTCCGTCGACAACAATGTTTCTCCTTCTTCATATTAGGGGAGGGGCAATATATGTCATGTTTTGAAAATTGAGGGGTGTAAAACAAGAACTAATCCTAGCCATAGGTTTCAAATACCTAAAACTAAGGCTAAGAGAGATCCTCTCAACTAACACCCTATTTCTCTAACAAGGGGCAACATTTATACTACTAAAATTCAGGGGTGACATTGATAATTGGCATATTTGTAAGGGGTATAAATTACAATTTTCCCTAAATGATATGTATGACTAGGAGCCAAACTTGAAATTTCTGCACTGCTACTTGGAATCCTTTAATGACATCCTCATTCATGTGAGGTAAGTTACTGCTCTGTCATCTCTAACATTTGTATGGTTCCTGTTTGAGAGCCAAGATGCAGAGTTGCAGACTTCTGCTCCTTTCTGTTATTTGTAGCTAAAGTGATTCTTTATCCTTTCACTCTAGGCCAAAAAGAAGATGATTTGTAGGTGAATTGGTTCTTTATTTCCTTTCACCCAAGGCCAATGCCAATGCCAAAGAAGAAGATGATGTCTAAGAGCTTCTTTTTCCAAAAACTATGTTGTTTATATTGCAAATCTTCAGACTACAAGTGAAGATACAAGTTACAGGATACTAATGATGATCTCTGATTCTTGTCACACTTTAATTTTCTTCATTCAATTTTTTTTGGATTTTTTGTGTTTTTTGTGTTTTTTTTTTTTTTTTGGGTCCATGATGAAAATATTTTATTTCAGTAGATAACAAATGTGAGCAACAGTTCATTGATGTATATATAATATACAGTAGTAGAAAAGTTTGTGATTTTTTAAGCTAAATTCTTATTGGTTCACATTGTTTAAAGCTTAGTTCCTATTGATCCATGCCCTTTTTTCTTCCTGGGTTATTACTTATTTCCTCCACTATTTTAGGTCATGCATCTCAACTATTGGTTGATTTTCTTTATATTCTTGGATTTGCATCTTTTTAAAAAAGTATTCTACTCTACATTTTTTTGGCACAAATTTCAGTACCTTTAATATTATCCCAAACATAAGAATCATGTATTTTTTATGGTGTCATTCAATATTGATCCCAATAGTATCTGCCATCAAGTATAATAATGTTTTGGCACAAATTTCAGTACCTTTAATATTATCCCAAACATAAGAATCATGTATTTTTTATGGTGTCGATCAATATTGATCCCAATAGTATTTGTCATCAAGTACAATAATGTATTATATATTTTTGTCTAGTATGCTTGATTATATTAGATATTAACACTGGTACTAATAATACTCAGTATAACAAAAAAAATCTAATTGGTGTTGGTGTCAATCAGCACACTAGAAAATCTCTATACGCACTTAAACTTGGTTACTTTTTGGCCAAAAGTAATTTAAGGAAGAAGGTGAGGTAATGTCAAATTTTATGGAATACAGTTCTAAGAAAATGCGATAATCTAAATCAAAGGCACCCGTTAGATATTAGATACGTTGTATCGTTTCTATGCTTATGAAGTTTTTCATATGTATATATATATATATATATATATATATATATATATATATATATAGAACTGGGTTCTGCTGTGGTTGGTAGTCCCCGGTGCGATTGAGGGGTTAAATTTGAGCCATTGATCTTTTTTAAATCAAGGTCCAAGATTACCAAAATTTAAAAAAAAAAAAAATACGGTGGCAATTTGATAATTTTTGCATTTAAGTCAAATTTAAGGTTGTTGAGTTTTGTGCTTATGGTGCGTGAGATTTGGGAAAATTAGTGCACTAGGACGCACAATGCATTGTGCGGTGTCGTTTGACCATGTTTTTTTTTTTTTTTTTTAGAAATCATGTTTCTCGCTTCTACTGTTAAATTCAAAAAAAAAAAAAAAAAATTATTTCGAATGTACATAAATTCATAACAGAATACACATAAACTCATAACAGAATACGCATAATCTAACATAATACATAATACACATAAACTGATAACAAAATACACATAATCTAACATAATACATAATGCATAATACATATAAACTCATAACATAATACACATAAACTTATAACAGAATACACATAATCTAACATAATACATAATACACATAAACTCATAACAGAATACACATAATCTAACATAATACTAATACACATAAACTCATAACATAATACACATAAACTCTTAACAGAATACACAAACTCATAATAGAAAATACATAATCTAACATAATACATAATACACATAAACTCTTAACATAATACACAAAATCTGAACAATAAAAACGACGTCGTTTTGGTCAGAGCGCACAATGCATTGTGCGCCCTGGTGCACGGTATAACGATTGTGAGATTTGTGCTTAAGGTGCGGGAATTTTATGCTTAATGTGCGTGAGTTTGTGCTTAAGGTACGTGGGTTTTGTGCTTAATGTGAGTAGTTGTTAAAACTTAAAGTGCGTGAATTTTGTGTTTAAGGTACGTGAGATTTATGCTTAAGGTGGTTAATGTGCGTGAGTTTGTGCTTAACGAGTTAACGTGCATGGGTTTTGTGCTTAATGTGAGTAGTTAGTAAAACTTAAAGTGCGTGGATTTTATGCTTAAGGTGCGTGAGATTTGTGCTTAAGGTGCGTGAGTTTTTTGCTTAATGTGCGTGACTTTGTGCTTAAGGTGTGTGAGTTTTGTGCTTAATGTGAGTAGTTGATAAAACTCAAAGTGCGTGGGTTTTGTACTTAATGTGGGCCATTTTAAAATCTTAGGTGCGTAAATTTTGTGTTTAATGTGCTTTTTTTTTTTTTTTATTACAAAGGAAGGGTGATACCTACATATACAATCTACGCCTACTACAAGACTTGAACCTCGAACCTCCCACATAAGGGACCAACCAAATACTAATGAACCATAACCCACTTGGTGTTTAATGTACGTGGTTTATGTACTTAAGGTGAATGATTTGTGTTTTTAAAGTGCTTTGTTTGTATGCTTAAGGTGCATGGTGATTTGTGTAATTAATGTACGCCATTTTAATGCTTAAGGTGCGTCCAACGCACAACCGCACGAGAAACCATTCCCGCACCTAAACCCTTCCCTATGTATATAGATAAACAAGTGAGGGTTTTTTTTTTTGGTTTTTTTTTTTTTTTTTTTGAGGGGTGAGGGATTAGACAGCATGTGTGTCAAGACATGATTTTAATACTATCATTTTGACCTTTGTGGGATGAGTTGGCATAAGAGTGCATTTTCTTTAGCATGCGTTTTTCTTTCCCTCTGCATATACAAGTCCCATTATGTTATAAAAAAGTACACTTTTTTACTCCAATAATTATTATAATTCATTGCCTTTGCTGGAACATTAAGCCAAGCAACCCCCACTTAACTTTCTGCTTAATTCTCCATTAATGGAAACCTAAACCCACAATGCAAGATATAATTGAATGCGAATTCCACGTGTTCTGCTAAGTAAGATTTTTTTTCTTCTGCCAAAAAGTTGAATCCCCGACCCTAAGAGCCCCATACACCCCGACACCCAAATACTGATATTACCTTGTACAAAAAAAAAAAAAAAAAAAAAAAAAAAAAAAAAAAAACAGTATATATGATTATATGTTGTACTAGTGTCACCAATGCTGGCCGAATTGAATTGAATTGAATGGTAAATTTTTGAAGTTAATAAATAATGAACTGATTAAACCTAAGAGATCATAGCCCTTATTTACCCTGGTAAATTTTGTTTGAACTATACTGTCTGACCCTTAAATAGGTAGGACATTATTAAGCATAATTTAGCCCTAATAATAAGCCATAATATTTTTTTTTGAAAGCTCTAATAAGCCATAATATGAGTACTCACTACCACATAATACATAGGCCATAAGAGTCATGATTTCAGAGCCCTTTCATGGTTCACTATTCATCCAACCAGCACGAACAGAAGCACCAATAAATGATACAATTATTAACCCTAATTGCACTAATCAAGATGCAATTAACCACAAAAAAAAAATAAAAAAATAAAAAAATCCCTGATGAATGCTATGATAGTCATCATATTTGTAATAGACACGTATATTCATCAATGTACCATATGTATATTGCTATATACGTATTTAGATTCTCTGTTTTTTTGTCCTATGACATCTCCGTATCTGATAATCACATGAATTTCAACTACTATCTGTTTTTTAGTCCTATGACATCTCAATATCTGACAATCACATAAGTTTCAACTACTATACAGTTGACCAACTATTGATTATTGAATAACACTATCATAACCAAAGCATCCCGAATAGGGGGATTTTGGATGGTTTTTGCAGGTTGGGTTGCTTATGTGGAGGAGAGAGTGAGGAGAGAAAAGATTTGGGGTCTTCCTGCTAATACCTGGTTTTTATCTGCACTATAGGTCCCACCAAAGTTGAAAAGCTGATGTATTTGTCGCGTGAAGGAACCCAACCATAATTTCCTTTGCTTTTTTTTTTTCTTCTATCCCTTTTATCTCTCCCATGTTCTCTTTCCTAGTCACACCTACAAAAACTCCTCAAAATCTATACCTATTGAGGATGCTCTTATTGTTTAGTTCACAAGGTCTGAACCTAAACTTTGCTTAAAAGGGAACCGAACACCTTTTACCTAAACCGTGTTGGTATCATACTATCATATGGATTCATAGCATACCACCTGAACTCCATTGGGAATGAGTGGCTAAGGAGCAGAAAGGAAAAACCTTAGAGTGTCCAAGGCATTGATAATATTCCTATCATTTGGTTCCCTACTTTTTCTTCTGCAATAAATTCTAGTTTAAGCAACCACTACCCTCATTATGACTACTAAATACCAGCTTATAAGAACCCTTCCAAAGTGCAAACATTCCATATACAACATCATTTTAGCACACTTTCCTATACTTGAACACAAAACAAGACATGACTATAACCATGGCTTCTTCTTCAGCCACTCTTTTCTTTGCACTTATTTTCTTACCCTCTATTGTCAGAGCTCAAGAGCGATCTCCCCACGGAGTTGCTTACGAGAGCCCACTTGCAATCTCGCCAGAAGCATATGCATTTTTCCACCCTAATACTCAACACCAGAATAGCAACAATAATACTGCTAATACTACTAGTTTAAGTTTATGCGATAGATCAGAGTCAGATTGCTCACCATTTCCCACGGCTTCTTCTGTTCAGTCAGATCTTGCTCATGAAAGCACAGCAGCTCGAGAAGGAGGGAAGCACAGGGTTGGAGCTGGAGGAGCAGCAGGGATACTGATTGGATTGGCATTTGCTGTACTTTTGGCACTCGGTGTTTTCTTCATGGTGATTGCACGGAAGCGCAACTTGAACAAAGCAAATGCTGCAATAGCTCAGCCTGAAGTTTAAGAGGCTGATTAGAGTCTATGGAGAAGCTTGATGATGCCATGCTTCGCTCCTCCTTTCCCCTCTGCCGTCTCTTTTCTTCCTGAGATGTGAGATATTACTATTGCTTGTATTTAGTTAGTGGTAACATAAGTAATGCAGTAATATTATTCAGCCATAACCTTTGGACCATCAAAAAGACCTGTCACCATATGCAAACTTGAATCGTTCTAGCTACTTAAGCATACAATCCACAGACATCTTACAAGTCAGTGCTGACTAAAAACAATTGGAATCTGTTTATAGAACATTTGAACTTTGAACACATTCTTCAACTAGCATAAACTGAAACCAACTCCTTCATAAAAATAGAAAAGCTTAGTGCCTGAAAACAGCTTAAATCCTAAATAAAATAGGTAAACAGCTGAAATTAGGTCTTTGAACCATTGAGGCATTGAACACAAAAAACCTGCAACATAGAGTACAAATAATAGAATCCGGTTCAAGTGTCAGTTCAACTTCCACTCCTAAAATGATCTCCTTGACTCAAAATACAATGATAATGGATGACTTCCATGCAAAGAAGAGGAAAATATCAAGAACTGAAGACCATAGAACTCTCCATGTTTTTTATTGGTACATTAATAGAATTAAGTTTCTTCAATACATGACTCCAAATAAATGTCACAAAACAAGCAACCTAATAATGTGCTGCATCATTGCAGCAGAACATGGTTGCTTTCCTCTTTCAGTCACTATGAAACAAAAGGCTACAACTCAAAGGAAGCCATTGCATGTGCAGGTGTATGAATTTTACAAAACGACAGTAAAAAGTTTGTGAAGCAGCTCTAGAATTGCACAATGATTTCTACCATCCACGGGAGCTGACAGACTTGATGACAGGTCCCATAATCTGATCCACTGTTTTATTCCATAGGTGTGCAAACTCAAAGCGGCGCTCCTTTTCAAAAATAGGCTCTTTTATCTATAAATCAAAATTGAAAATCTTAGGCATGACGAAAAGAAATTAAAAAAAGATAGTTTAGCAGTTCACAAATTATGATTTTGAACTTCAAGTTGCTTTCTGCATTCATGCATTGTTTTTGTAATATGAATATACAATATTAGAACAAGATTGAGAAATAGCACAGTAAATAGTAAAAGACATTAGTGATTAAAGGTTCTCAAGCTGCTATACAAGTAGGATGCCCTCAAAGCTATCAAAGGTTTCCAACATTTTTTGACTTCATATGGAGTGACCAAGGGCATACCATATTTTATATACAAAGTGCTGAGAGAAAAGCTTATCTAAAAAGTAATACAGAAATGCTCTCCAAATAGCATAATATTTGTAATTGCATTAACCGATGACAAAGGTATAACCATAAGAATGAAAACTTTAACTGAAGTAGGGAGAGGACTTCCTAGTGCTTGTTTTGCCCAATTGTAGCTTAATGAAAAAGAGGCTTCCTGAAAAGCTGCAACTGTGAATCTTCTTGAAAAATATTTTCTCTTTAAAACCTTTTTTTCTCTTTTTGGTGTTTCGTTGATGCTTTTTGGACTATAAAAGCTTCAATACATAATTTTAGTAAGCTGTTTATTTCTTGAACGAAATCCGCGCCAAATAGGCAAATACTACATGAGTATGTAGTCTATACCATTCTGGCTCCTAACCTTGGAGTAAAATCTTTTGGTTCTCACTGTTAATTGCCTCTTTTAATGGCCTAAGCACTATTGCAATTTATCACAACCAATATCACTGCAACCTGTTGAGATTTTGTTTTCAAATTTCAATACAAGCTCCATAAAGCCTCAACTTTCTCTTGCATACTTATTAACTGTAAACTTAAATGATTTATGAGTTCTATTTCTCTCAAATTTATAACCCAATTGTTCTCTTTCCTAGATTTCATAAGCATACTAGGAGTGCAAAAGATATTTCATAAATTCACTGGGTAAAATGCACCTTTATATGATGGCCTGTCAAAAAAATGGTGTTCACACACTGTACAAATCACACAGAAAGTAAAAAATCATAATATGGAGCATAAGAATAATTTTTCCTTCCTAAGCACAGTCACTAACCCAAGGTTAAATAGTGTCAATATGATACTTTCCTAAACCACCAAACAAGAGCCAAGACATTAAGAAATGAACCAATGAAGGGATCTAAATGGCTCACTGTCAAGCCAGAAATTTGATGGTGAGATATAGTGGGCAACTGGGCATGTAGATACTATGGGCTATGTATCCACTGCAGCCAGCGGCTTAACTGCAAGTTTGATGGTACAGCTGAACTCATTAACAGGTACATTATTTTATTTGTACCATTTCAGTACCTACCCACAAACTTATTAAAGCGAAAAAGTGCACCAAAGCGATGAGCCCGGGCTTTGCTTTAAAGCGAAAGCGCAAAGCGAAGCGACGCTTTTTCACATAAAGCGACGCTTCTTAAAAAAATCAATATATACTCAAAATACTTAAATAGTAATGCAAAATAACATATATAGGAACTCCTCAATGTTATAATAATACAAAGTTTAGTCATCAAAATAGTCATTCAAGTCATTTAGTCATCAAAATATCACATATTCAATATATTCATAATAATTTTAAAACATAATTTAATACAAAAAATGAAAAAAAAAAAAAGTTAGTGTTAACAATAAATGCTACTCAGTACTGCCTACTGCAAGTGTCCAGCCAAGAGTAAGATTCCAAGTCTCCAACTCTATTTTAACATTTCAGTCATCTTCTTCATTCAACGTAAGAGAAAAAAAAAAAAAAAAAAAAAAAAAAAAAAAAAAAAAAAAAAAAAAAACAGAGAGAGAGAGAGAGCGAGGCAGCAGCAACGCCGGCGAGGAAGGTTAGCGACAACGACGACTTGCGGTGATGGTGAGGCAGTGAGCAGAGGCGCAGAACAGAGGGTTTCGAGATGTTTAAATGAGGTGAGGCAGAAGGGTTTCCCGAGGGCAGCCATGACTCTCGGTGAAGGCGGTGAAGGTGAGGTAGTGAGCAAAGGGGTGAGACAGGCGGTGAAGGGTTTTGCGAATCGTCCTTTTTTTTTTTTATTTTGTTCGTGTTTTTTTTTTCTTTTTGACCGTTGACTTGCGCTCTGCATAGTAAAGCCTCGCTTTTCGCCGCTTCGTCGCTTCGTTGCCTCGCCAGAAAAGCGCGTTCAAGCGCGCGCTTTCTCACGCTACTGCGCCTTGCCTAGGCGAGGCGATCTGCCATCGCTCGCCTTGCTTTTGCGCTTAAAGCGCAAAAGCAAGCGCTTTTAATAAGTTTGCCTACCCATCCCAATGAGATAGAGAGTATAAGGTGTAACCTAAAGGACCAGTTGGTTGAGTCACGGCACTTTCCAGTAATACAATGTAATTGAGTAAAGGCATATATAGCAAGTTCATCACAGGAACAGCCTAAAGGATATGAGCTTTGCAGTGTAATAAATCACATGCAACGCAAGTAGAGCTACCTATACAACATATTTTCAATTAAAAGCCGTTATACATTAGCAAAATACCAAAACTAGATTGCATAGAAATGATCTTAATTTGCAAAACATCTAGCTTGCTCCAGCTAACAATATTATTAACATAGCGTTTGGAATTCAAGTTTATTTTTGTATGAAGGTTTCAAGGCATATATGGCGTGTTCATCACAGGAACAGCCTAAAGATATGTGCTTTACAGTATAATAAATATCATACACAATGCAAGTAGAGCTACATGTACACACATTAACAAAATACCAAAACTAGAGTGCATAGAAATGATCTTAATTTGCAAAACATCTAGCTTGCTCCAGCTAACAATATTATTAACATAGCGTTTGGAATTCAAGTTTATTTTTGTATGAAGGTTTCAAGGCATATATGGCGTGTTCATCACAGGAACAGCCTAAAGATATGTGCTTTACAGTATAATAAATCATACACAATGCAAGTAGAGCTACATGTACACACATTAACAAAATGCCAAAACTAGAGTGCATGGAAATTATCTTAATTTGCTAAACATCTAGCTAGCTCCAGCTAATAATATAATTAATAAAGCTTTTGGAATTCAAGTTTAATTTTCATATGATTGTTTTGGTTTTAAAGGCACATATAACGTGTTCATCACAGGAACAACCTAAAGATATGAGCTTAACAGCATACTAAATCATGCACAGAGCAAGTAGAGTTACCTGTACAACATATTTTCTTTTAAAAGCCATTAGCCCATTATACATTAGCAAAATGCCAAAACATCTTAATTTGCTAAACATCTAGCTAGCTCCAGCTACATAATATAATCAATAAAGCTTTTGGAATTCAAGTTCAATTTTCAATATGATCGTTTTGGTTCAATTCAGTACATACATTTCCTTGCTAATGATGTCAGACACAATAAAAAAAAAAAATACAAAATTACAAACTCAATTTTCAGGAAAAAAAATTCAAATGTTCTGAAATTTATCTACCAGGGAAAATATGTACCAAAACGTAGGGTTCGAAAATCGATATTCAGCTAAAATTGTAGAAAACTTTACCTGAGAATGAGGAAAAAAATGAGATTGAGTATCAGAGACGGTCTTGTAAATACTCCGGCGCTGCTCAAATACCACCACCCCCGTGAGTATGCTCCCTAATGCTGCTCCCAGCAAACGCTCCTGCGTATAACAAAGTATGTCAAAAAAAAAAAAAAAAAAAAAAAAAAAAAACCGCAAGCGAAGTGCGAATCGGAAATTGTTGCATTACCTGAGTGAGAATACTGATCATGGCGAAGTTTTTTGAATGGATCTTCAGGTTAGGGCGTACAGTTTGAGTGGCTTTCCGGCGACCTCTATGAAGATCGAAACTTCTGGCCTCCGTTCAACTTTGTGAATATTTCGCCAACTCGCCTGTGCTCTATTTTCCTGATACGGAACTGGGCTTTGACGGGTCCACTTTTGATCCTCAAGGCCCAAAAAGTGGTACAAACTTCATTTCGGCAAATTATGCCCCGGACCCGTATCCACAATGAATTGTGGACACGGGCCCAAAACGACGTCATTTAAAAAAAAAAAAAAAAAAAAAAATCACGCGCGTTTTTTCGTTAACGGCGTTAATTGCGTTATATTTTTTTGGATTATGAATGTACAGTTATGCCGTTATGAATATACAGTTATGCCATTATGAATGTACAGTTATGCAATTATGAAATTATGAACACAGAGCTCTAACATTATGAACTTACAATTATGAACATATAGTGATAAAATTATGACCATGGAGCTTTAAAATTGTGAATATAGAGCTTCGAAGATTATGAATGTACAATTATGGAGTTATGAATGTACAGTTATAGAGTTATGAATCTACAGTTATGGAGTTATGAATCTACAGTTATGAGATTATGAATCTACAGTTATGGAATTATGAATGTACAGTTATTGATCGAATTATGAACAAAGAGTTCTGACATTATGAACTTACAATTATAAACATATAGTGATAAAATTATGAACATAGAGCTCTAAAATTGTGAACATAGAGCTTCGAAAATTATGAATGTACAATTATGGAGTTATGAATGTACAGTTATGGAGTTATGAATGTACAGTTATGGAGTTATGAATGTACAGTTATAGAGTTATGAACGTACAATTATGGAGTTATGAATGTACAGTTATTAACATATAGTAATAAAATTATGAACATATACTCCTATAACGAAGTGGTCTGAAATTTAAAAAAAAAAAAAAAAAAAAAAAAAAAAAAAAAGGAGATAACAGTGTCTAACGGCACTGTTACCCATGTCCAGCATGCATACTGGACACGGGTCCAACGCATAACGATTGCTTCATTTCTTTATCGGCCCAATTTATTTGAAATTGTACACTTAATCCAATTACCATCTTAACTTTTTTACTTTTGACACCACGTTTGGTTCACGGAATAAATTTGGAGGGAATAAGAATGCTATTCCACAGGAAATGAAATAGGTAAGGAATAGAATAGGAATTGTATTCTGTTGTTTGGTTAGTTGAAGGAATAGACTTTAGTAATTGTATTCCAGTGTTTGGTTGGTTAAAGGAATAGAAATTGAATAGGTTTTAAAGACATAAATACCCTTATACAAAATAATAATAATAATAATAATAATAATAATAATAATAATAATAATAATAATAATAATGAATATGATTATGATATACTGAATGTTATATATATATATATATATATATATATATATATATATATATATATATATATATATATATATTATTTATTTATTTATATTTATATTTATATACATGTATATGCATGTGTGTGTGAGAGAGAATTGACGGTAAAAACGTTACCGGTAATAATATTAGAATAACAAATGATGTGACAAAGTAACAATAGATGTAACAATAGTTGTATTGCCTTTTGTCTCAGTATAGAAAGTACAGTGTGTCCCCTGCTCAGCTGAGGGAAGTTCTATTTATGCTAGGTCCTAACGGTAACAACATGAAGAGTCATCATTGGGGAGCTGAGCTAACGGCAAGAATATGAAGAGTCATGAATGAGGCGTTGATGCTTTAACTCTCTCTCATCAAAGGTGGCATCAATGGTGGCTTCAAAGACAATAAAGGTGACACCTGTTGGAATTCCTAACCGTTGGAGTTCTGCCCGTTGGGTTCCCATGTGATGCTGAGTCAATGCCCATTTGTGATCCGGGTCGGGTGCCAGCCCTATTATCCTGTCACCAGTCCCCCCTACTCCTGAGGCAACGGATGTGTTTGGGTTGACTTGGGAGTAAAGCTGAATTTGCTTGATATCGTGAAGAATCCCGATTGATCCCGAGTATGTGATTTTATTTTCCAAATCACACATGATTTTTTTTTATGCTGGCCGATACAGGCTGCGGCTTAGGCAGGCCGAGGTGCATGCCTCCGGCCGAGGCGTCGCCTCAACCGAGCGTGGCCGAGGCGTCGCCTCGACTGATCGTGGCCAAGGCGTCGCCTCGATCGATCGTGGCCGAGGCGTGCGCCTCGGCTGACCGTGGCCGAGGCGTCGCCTCGACCGACCGTGGCCGAGGCGTGTGCCTCGGCTGAGGTGGTCGAGGTGTGCGCTTCGGCTGATCGCGGCGAGGCGTAGCCTCGACCGATCATTTTTTTTCTTTTTGCCGAGACGGACTTCGGCTTTGGCCGAGGCGGGCGCCTCGGCCAACCCCACGACTGATCGTGGCCGAGGCGTCGCCTCGACCGATCGTGTCCGAGGCGTGGCCTCGACCGATCGTGGCCAAGGCGTGCGCTTCGGCTGATCGCGGCCGAGGCGTAGCCTCGTCCGATCGTTTTTTTTTTTTTTTTTTTTTTTTTTTCGGGGCCGAGGCGTGACCTCGGCCACTTGGCCGAGGCGTGTGCCTCGGCCTTGGCTGAGGCGCGCCCTCAGCCAATTTTTTTTTTTTTTTTTTTTTTGAAACAACATGGGCGGACCATAAGCACGAGATATTATTCCAAAAGATTTCAGAATGCAAAGCAGGCGGACCGCTATTTCCAAACACCAGTTCCAAACGACTACTAGAATATTAAGGAAAATACTTAATCAAATGTTCCTAGCTCCATACCCGATCGATCATCCTTACAGATGGTGTGGACTTATAGATCATTTCTGCCAATCTTTTTGCATGCTTTAACGTAACAACTGCGGGCCGCTCGCTGGTCTCCTCTGACGACCCCTATCCCGCTCGGAGTGGGGAACTTCATACACAAGTGTTCCACCGACACTATGGCCTTGAGGTTCTCCAGTGCCGGTCTCCCCAATATGATGTTGTGCGCGCAAGTGAGTCTTACCCACGATGAATTCCAAGTCAAGTTTGCGAATGTTAGGGCTCGTGCCTATCTCCACTGGTAAGACCACTGACCCCTCCGTCTCCACTGAATCACCCGTAAATCCAGTGAGTGGGGTACGTACCTCTTTGAGCTGGTTCCTAAGTATCCCTAACTTGGTGAAGGCATCGTAATACATCACATTGACTGAGCTTCCCGTGTCGACTAAGATGCGGCGGATAATGACATCATTGACGTCCATCTCAATTACCAGGGCGTCACGATGGGGTAACGGGCCGTCTGGGAGGTCATCATCAGAGAAGGTGATGGCCTCCTGTCTCTGTTTCTTTTCTCTGGGAAGACTCGCCACTTCTCCCACGTATAGCCGCCGGCTCCACTTCTTTCTTTCCGCGGGCGTGTCGCCCCCTGCAGGTCCACCATAGATAAAGTGTATGGTGTGCTTCTTTTGTCGTCTGGGCGCCACCTCGGTTTCTTTCTCGCTATCACTCTGCTCAGATATTTGGTCGTGGTCTCTTTTTTTGGCGTTTGAGGTGGACGGCTCGGTGCCATCCTCATTCCTCCAGACATTTTTTGGTGGATTGTGTTGCGACTGTTGCTGCTGCTTGGATCGCTTGACGAAATGTCGGAAGTAGCCCTGCTGGATGAGGTCTTCTATTTGTCTCTTCAAAACGTGACACTCATCCGTATCGTGTCCGGCATGCCTATGAAACCTGCAGTACTTTGTTTGGTCTGCCTTTGGGGAGACCTTCATGCACTCCTCGGGGAATTCTACCATTCCCATCTCCTCAGCTTGCTTTAGAATGACACTGACGGGATGGGTAAGAGGAGTCAAATTACGCAACGGGACCAGGCGAGGCCGTTCGTGGTCTCGGCCTTTCCCTGCGGTCGGGTGGTTCGAGAGTGGTGCCTGGCTGGGCGGACCAGCTTTCCCAGGCTTCCCATCTTTCCTACCATCCTCTTCGTCCTTCTTCTTCCTGTCGACGTCCTCTGCTTCGGCATAGCGGCTAGCCGTCCTCATCAGATCTTCGTAAGAGCGGGGGTGGTGAGCGTTCAGCTGCTTGTGGAAATACCCTGATCTTAAGGCATGGATAAATATCGGGGTCGCCGCCTTGGAGTCGAAGTCGTAGACATTATTGACTTCCTTTTTCCATTTGATCAGGAAGTCTTTGAGGCTCTCGCCTCTATCTTGCTTCACTACACAGAGGTGAGAGAATGGTTTCTTGCGATGTATGCTACCGAAGAAGTATGTTAGGAAGCTCTTGGACAACTCCCCAAAGTTTTGGATTGACCCATCTGGGATGGTGTTGAACCAGTCTTGGGCCGCTCCATCCAGTGTGGACAAGAACGCTCGGCACATGATGGCGTCCCCTGCCCCGATCATTACCATAGCAGCCTTGTACCTCGTCATGTGGACACGTGGGTCAGTGGCCCCCGTGTACTCCTTGATGGCGGGCAACCTAAAGTCCCTCGGCAAAGGTACGTCCATGATGCTAGGGGAGAATGGTGCTGCCATCCGTACCTCAGGTTCCGGCGACTGCTCCCGTGCCTCCACCCTTCTTGCTAACTCCTCGATTCTTCTCTGCAGCCTCTCGACCAGGGCCGACTCGTCAGGGTGCCGACGTGGGGCCGGCTGCCGCTCCTCCATGTGTCGGCGTGGAGCTAGTTCATCGACGTGCTGTCTATCTGAGTGTCGACGCGGAGCGGGTTCCTCGACGTTCCGTCCATCCAAGGGTCGGTGTGGGACCCGCTCATCAGCGCGTCGATTCTCCGCCGAGTGCCGACGCAGAGCCGGCTCATCGACGCGTCGCTCCTCCAAGTGTCGACGTAGGGCCGACTCATCAACGTGTCGGCGTGGGGTCGGCTCCCGAGACTCGCCTACCTCCTCTGTGGGTGATCTCTCGGCTTGTCTGTTCTCGTGTTGGTGAGGGCCTCTGGTAGAGGACCCCTCGGCCCGTGATCCTAATCTTTGCCGCACGGGCGCCCTCTGTCCCAATCGTTCTGGCGCAGATTGGGAAGGGCCTGGTTGTCGTCTGGCCGGTCCACTTCTTTGGGCCTCTACCCCTATTTGCTGGGGCCGCGGCGTGGGCACTTGGCCTTGCAGTCCCACCGCCACCTGATTTAGCGCCGCCGTCACTGCTTGCTGAATGATATCGGCGGTCGCCTGGAGGTTCACGGCTTGGTTCACCCCCCATTGTTGAGTTGGTCTTGAAGGTCCCCGGGCCTCCTGTTCACGGCTTGGTTTACCCCTCCATTGTTGAGTTGGTCTCGAAGGTCCCCGGGCCTCCCGTTGTTGAGCTGTTCTCGGAGGTCCCCTCCGCGATTGTTGGTGAGTTGGTCCCGGAGGTCACCTGAGGCATTGCCATTGTTCACGTTGCGAGAACCGTGGGAGCTGCGGGACGCCATTCTTTCAGGCTTGCTGTTGAAAGAGAAAAAGAGTAGTGTTGTAGCCTGCTTGAGTATTGGACTCATGCTCTCAATGAAAGCACCAATGACGGTAAAAACGTTACCGGTAATAATATTAGAATAACAAATGATGTGACAAAGTAACAATAGATGTAACAATAGTTGTATTGCCTTTTGTCTCAGTATAGAAAGTACAGTGTGTCCCCTGCTCAGCTGAGGGAAGTTCTATTTATGCTAGGTCCTAACGGTAACAACATGAAGAGTCATCATTGGGGAGCTGAGCTAACGGCAAGAATATGAAGAGTCATGAATGAGGCGTTGATGCTTTAACTCTCTCTCATCAAAGGTGTCATCAATGGTGGCTTCAAAGACAATAAAGGTGACACCTGTTGGAATTCCTAACCGTTGGAGTTCTGCCCGTTGGGTTCCCATGTGATGCTGAGTCAATGCCCATTTGTGATCCGGGTCGGGTGCCAGCCCTATTATCCTGTCAAGAATAATAATAATAATAATAATAATAATAATAATAATAATAATAATAATAATAATAATAATAATAATAATAATAATAATAATAATAATTATTATTATTATTATTATTATTATTATTATTATTATTATTATTATTATTATTATTATTATTATTATACAAATAAATATTTATATTTATATTTATATTTATTTTTCCACTTATCCCACATCGGTTGGAGAAGTAAGGAATGGAGCCTTGAGGCTCCTATAAAAGGAGTCTCAAGGCTCCCTAATTTCAATTGCAATGCTCATCCGCTAGGCAAGGTTGCAATGCCCATCCGCCGCTAGGCATGCAGATGAGCAGGCTACTTAATTTAGGAGCTAAGGCTCCATAATTAAGGAGTCTTATACAGTTAATTTTATATATATATATATATATATATATATATATATATATATATATATATATAGATTGATAGATAAAAATTATAAATAATTAAATATATACATTTATATAATACATTAAATTTATTAAATAAATATAAATATTATATAATGTGCAAAGGGTATTTTTGGTATTTGTGATATAAAAGCTATTCCTAAGGGCATGGGAATAGCTAATACCAAGGCCCCCCTAGGAATGGCTATTCCCCTTTGTGAAGGTAATAGCTCATTCCTAGACATGTTATTCCCATGACAAAATGATCCAACCAAACGATGGAATAGGTCTATTCCAAGGAATGTTATTCCATTCTTGACCTATTCCATGAACTAAACATGCCAGAGAGTATCATATGCATTTGCGCAAATTATGCTGTGGACTCGTGTCCACAATGCATCGTGGACACGAGTCCAAAACGACGTCGTACATTTCAGTTTAAAAAAAATGATTTTGTCTCGCCGTTAAGGCGTTAACAGCGTTATTCGTTTGTGGAATTATGAATGTACAGTTATGGAATTATGAACACAGAGCTCTGACATTATGAACTTACAATTATGAACATATAGTGATAAAATTATGAACATAGAGCTCTAAAATTGTGAACATAGAGCTTCGAAAATTATGAATATACAGTTATGAAATTAGGAATGTACAGTTATGGAATTATGAACACAGAGCTCTGACATTATAAACTTACAATTATGAACATATAGTGATAAAATTATGAACATAGAGCTCTAAAATTGTGAACATAGAGCTTCGAAAATTATGAATTTGCAGTTATTGAATTATGAATGTACAGTTACAGAATTATGAATGTACAGTTATGAAAGTATGAATGTACAGTTACGGAATTATGAACACAAAGCTCTGACATTATGAACTTACAATTATGAACATATAGTGATAAAATTATGAACATATGTTCCTATAACGAAGCGGTCAGAAATTTTAAAAAAAAAATAGTGAAAGATAACGATGCCACTAACGGTACCGTTACCGTGTCCACAATGTATGCTGGACACGGGTCCATAGCATAACGATTGAGAGTATCCAATTACCATCTTAACTTTTTACTTTTCAGAGTATCATATGCATTTGGCTCTATCTGCTGAGGCATTGAGTTATCATAATTTACGTCATTCCAAATATTCTATCGAGTCGTGACTTTGGGATTAGAGATTCAAATTTTTAAAAGAAGACTTTTGAGTATCATATGTATAAAACATAATATATTTTTCAATTATCAGTTTACATTTTTTATTGGAATAAGGGACAAATAGGCCATCAAACCGCACATAAAAATACAATTAGGCTACTGAACTCAAAAAAGTTATAATTAAGTCCCTAAATTAACACATTTTAAACAATTTGTCCAATTTACAAATTGTCCCCCTTTCTAACAGGTCACCCAATTTAAAATATTTTTTAAAAATAATTTTTTTTTAAATTAAATAAAATAAACTAAAATTTAAAAAACAAAATACTTCGTCTCCGTCCCTTCGTCTCCGGCATCATGAAAGTTATAATTAAGTCCCTAAATTAACACATTTCAAACAATTTGTCCAATTTACAAATTGTCCCCCTTTCTAACAGGTCACCCAATTTAAAATATTTTTTAAAAATATTTTTTTTTAAATTAAATAAAATAAACTAAAATTTAAAAAACAAAATACTTCGTCTCCGTCCATTCGTCTCCGGCCATGGAGATGATGCCGGAGACGAAGGGACGGAGACGATTTTTTTTTAATTTTTTTTAATTTTAGTTTATTTTAATTAATTTTTTTAAAAAAATTATTTTTTAAAATATATTTTAAATTGGGTGACCTGTTAGAAAAAGGGAAAACCTTCAAATTGGACAAATTGCTTGAAATAAGTTAGTTTAGGGATTTAATTGTAGTTTTTTTGAATTTAGTGACCTAATTGCATTATTGTGTGTGGTTCGATGACGTATTTGACCCTTATTCCTTTTTTATTTAAACGAAGCGCATTCTTCAACTATTACAAAAGTTATCAAAAATATAATTGAATTTCACATAATTGATTCAAGAAAATGTTTTCAGCTTAATATAATTGAATGTTTTTACACGGAATGTGATATGGTTATTATGCAATTGTTATATTGTGCAACGACGTTGTTTTTTATTTTAAGAATTTATGTGTATTATGTTAATAGTTTGTGTATTTTGTTAAAAGTTTGTGTATTATGTTATGAGTTTATTGTATTATATAAAGAGTTTATACATATTGTGTATTATATTATATTATATGTATTCTATTATGAGTTTATGTACATTCGAAATAGGGGATTTTTTTTTTAGAAGTTAACGGTAGAAACGGAAAACAGAATTTGTAAAAGAAAAACAGATACACAATGACGTCGTTTCGACCATTGTGCGCCCTGGTGCACGATATAATTTGCCGTTATTATGCCATCTCACTAATAAAATGTACAAACTTGAATGTAATATGTCGAAATGTATGTACGATTGTATGCAGTATTTTAACTGAGCCATATTACTTGATGGGGGTAAGGGGGTTATAAGAGCATCTATAATAGTTGAGTTTTTTTTTTTTTTTTTTTTTTTTTTATGGTTTTTGAGGAGTTTTTGTAAGTGTGGTTAGGAAAGAAAAAATGGGATGAAAGAGAGAAAAAAAAAGAAAAAAAACAATGATGAAATTTAAATTAAAAAAAAAAGTCTGATAGATGGATAAACGCGCCTACCTGGGCGCGAATTTGTCCCTCATACGATATTCAATGCTCATTAGTTAAAGTGTTGGGACCCACAAACTTGCAATATCTCAATACCTTGCAGGAGGTTTATTTTTCTTCTCTCTCCACATTATCATTCCTCCACATCATCTTATCTTTCTTAAAAACCATGTAAAAGCTTTGCAATATCTACTTGATGGATATATTACGAATGGATCTGAACCGACCCGAGAGTATGGAGCAAGAACGGACCTCGGGACGGTGCTACGCGCCCCGTTCGTCCACCTCGGCACAAGGCCTCGGTCGGCGCCTCAGCACAAGCCCTCAGCATGAGGCCCCCGCGAGAAACTTCAGCACGAGGTCAGCAGCGGACATCGGCACGGACCCCGGGGCAGCGTTACTGTAACACCCCACTTTTCTTAATCTTAATTACAATTCTAAAACCACAATTAAAATAAATTAAGTAGCGGATAAACAACTTAATCAGTAAACTAGTGGGAATGTCACCGCCACAACCACCACTCCGTGGTGATTGCACACGCTAAGGATGGAACTAAAACAATAAACCAAACTAACATTCATATTACTCAATTAAAAGTCATAATGGGGAAAAACACCCCGATGTCTAAACATCAAACTTCATCATCAAACATAAGTCTACAAATTCGTCAAAATAACATCATGACAAAACTAAGAGTTTAGACTACTAGATCTACTAAGCTAGTCTAACTCGATCATCTCTCAAACGATGTGCCCACCTGAAATGGGTTTTACAAACAACACATAGACAAGTAGGAAAACACTCGTTAGCACGAAGCTAAATATAACCACATTCAACCCTGTAAAGTACTACAATATATACTTTGGAAAAATATTTGTTCACAAACTCAATCAAACAATCTCATCACTTAGGCAACTTAAGATACATCATAGACTTTCTATATGCTTGAAACCTATAATATCAACAGGCATGCTTCAAATATAAATAACTCATCAACATAAATACACCAACACATATTTCTCATAACAAATCTCATCATAACGAACTCATGCTATCAATCAATCTCATACTAACAACCAATATGAAATTATCTTCATGCCTTCAAGTTCTCATCACGCAAACTGGATATATATAAGACATCAAAATGCAACTAAGGCAATCATGCTCAATATACAAACTTGGTTAGTCATTCTCGTATGCAAACTAGTGCAATACTATACTCAAATGCAATCTCGTGCAAACATTCTCATTATGCAATCTCGTGCTATACTATAAGTATACTCATACACTCGTTTGTAAAATAAAATAATTTTCTGTGGAGGTTTCTTAGAGTCACAATGACTCGCTCTCTATCTCTTGAGTCTCTTGACTCGATTTCTTTCTTGCTCAAACTTTCTCATACTTCTCGTTTCTCTTCTTGTGCGAGGCAGGTACTCCGCCGCGGCGAAGCCCTAGCGTACGATGCAATCTCGTGCATCCGCCACATCCGTAACTATGGAACCTCTAACTCATGGGGAGGTAGGTCTTCACGAATCGTTAATGGACCTAACCGGCTCGGCAATCTAGCCGTCCACATACTCAACTCGCCCACAGAACCAATCTCGTGGTTCCAATACTCATACTCTGTGGAATCAGGTATTGTACTTTTAGTGTGCACACCCCCTAACCAGGATTCCAAGCCTGGCGGGCAGTTTCCAACCTCTTAACGTGGGAATGCACCGCGTTACATGATAAATATGTCGGATCGCAATATCCGTTACTTTCTCTTTTACTCCGAAAGGACGTAGTCCCAACGGGCCCTCCAAAACCTCACTGATATATATATATATATATATATATATATATCATGCACCAAACCTATGCATGTCACATCTCAACAACTTCTCAATGCAACAAGGTAATGACATACCACATGCTCATGAATTTTTGGAAAATAATATTTAGGCTCACGTTGGCCATATATGCACTTTATAAAACATGATATGCTAGAAATGCAATTCACTATACGACATACTTCAATTCTATATTACTGTGAATTTCTCAAAGAACACTTAATCATGCTTGGAATCCAAAATAACATGCTCTGTACACTTCATCAAAAGACTACAATTTTCATTGGACATAAAACACATTATAGTCATGCTTCTTTAACAATTCTCATTCACAAAATGCTCATGCTTTTCTGTTCAGTACTCAAATAGCATTAGGAAGATAACAAGCAATTTCCATAGACAGTATAACTCTGATACAGCACATTTGCAATTTGCTGTAAACAATTCCATCACAAAATCTTTCATAACATGCTCATTTCTAATCTGAATTCAACGAAATCAAAGTCAAAACGTGCGTCAAGACGGCCCCGAAGTACCGAGCCAAAAGGGCCCGTGACACCTGGTCCGAAACGACACGTAGCTGAGCCACAAGGGCCGGGCCACTACACAGACATAACTCAGGGGCTATGGGGCGGGGCTCTGGATAGCCCGCCTCCTCAGGCCATTACTTTGCCGGACCTAGGCCCGGCCAGCCATGACTCTCCTAGGGCCGTGCCCTAGGCCCGACCGACCATGGCTCTAGCCAACGGTCCCCTTGATGGGCTGTTGGCTAGGGTCGCTACATTCATCTGGTGCACACTGTCTGTGCACCATGTGATCCATTTCATATGCAAATCCATTTCAAACAATTCCAACACATCCAAAGCATTATCAACACATCAAAGACAAGTAATAGATCGCTTCCTAGCTCAAACACAACAAAATCTATCATTTCTACTCATTTCTACCTAAGAAACTAGGTTTCACAGAGCCAAAATTTGAAGAGAGAGTCCATGGGGTTATACCTTTGAAGACCTCTTTTTCTTGCTTGGATATCTTCTTCCTCCCAACTTAGTTAGCACCTCCTTCACCACCTAAACTCCCTAAACAAACCATACAAACTTCTAACTTTCACTTTAGCTTATCACTGAAAACTTCTCTGTTTCACTTTCAAAGGATATAAACAAGCACTTTAAATACATTGATAAAGCACACAAAACACAAAGGAACTCACGACCTCACCGCGTTCCTAACTGATACTTAGAGTTTCTCTTAACTCTGATTCTCATACTCAATCACTGAACTTAGAGTCTTTCTCATCTCAATTTTCATATCTTAGGGCTCTTTCCCTATTCTTATCCTTCTTAGGACTTCCACTTAATGTTTTCTTCTTATATTGTCTTTCTTAAGACTTCAACTTAAAGATCTTTCCTTAACTTGTCCTTCCTAGGACTTCACTTAGAGTTTCTATACTCAGTCTTAAGGGTCAAACTTCCTAAGTTTCCCGCGGTTCGTACCGCTCTGATACCAATTTGTAACACCCCACTTTTCTAACTCCTAATTACATCTCTAAACAGTCATTAACATAAACTATGCAGCGGAAAACTAGAAGATAAGTAGTGGGAGTGTCACCGCCACAACCACCACTCTTGGGTGATTGCACGGCTAAAAGGGGTAAAACTACAAATAAGATTAAGTCTGGGAACTAAAAGTAAATACTGGAAAAGTAAGGGGGAAAAAGGTCACCCCAACACAGTCTAAATCCATTTCAAACAATTCCAACACATCCAAAGCATTATCAACACATCATAGACAAGTAATAGATCACTTCCTAGCTCAAACACAACAAAATCTATCATTTCTACTCATTTCTACCTAAGAAACTAGGTTTCACAGAGCCAAAATTTGAAGAGGGAGTCCATGGGGTTATACCTTTGAAGACCTCTTCTTCTTGCTTGGATATCTTCTTCCTCCCAACTTAGTTAGCACCTCCTTCACCACCTAAACTCCCCAAACAAACCATACAAAGCTTAGACTAGAACCTCAGAGAATGGATGAAAGCTAGAAGGAAGATGGAAGGCTAAGATTTAAGGGAAATGAAGATGAAACTTACTGTTGTTCTTCTTCCTACTTGGCAGGCAAAACCTTGGTGAGGCAAAGAAAGATATCAGGGAATCAATGAAGGAATAAGGTGGGTTTTATAGGGTGAAAAACCCTAGGATGATACTCAATGATTGGTGGAGGGCAAAGTGGTAATTTTAGTGATTGTTCTAAGGAGATCAGACAAAGGGGTTGGAGGGTTGTGGTCTACCAAGCTTCATGGACTAATGTCTAGAAGGGTGGTTTTAAATAGTTTAGGGGTCAAAATCGATTTTTCCAAAGATGATTTCTAAACAAACACTTGGTTCAGATTTCTCCCGGTCTCACTCAGATTGGGTTCTCAGTTTAAAAACTTGGTACGCGAAGTACCCAAAAATTTAGGATTTTGGAATTAAAATAAGTTTTGGTGTTGAATTAATTTAAAAAGTACTCAAAATAATTTATTCAAACACCAATTTATCGCAAAAATTTTTAATGGTGTGAAAATGGCTACTTTGAAATTTCTAAAAATTGGATTTATAAAATTAAATTTTGGGTTGTCACAGTTACGTGCCCCGTCCGTCCACCTCGGCACAAGGCCTCCGTAGGTGCCTCAGCACAAGATCTTGGCAGGAGGTCGGCAGCCGACCTCGCCCGGTCTCCGGACCGGGCGCGGTCAAAGCGGGGATAACCGCCTCTCTCAATTCAGGGGGGCGGTTGGGAGGCCCACGACTTGTATAAAAGGCCCTCCCTTTGTCCAATTAAGGGACATTATATCTATCTTACATATTTTGTCCTAACAAATCATTGTAATAGCCTATTTGCGGCATATAATACGATATACGGTCTTCACAGCCTTTACGACATCGTTTCTACCTATTTCTTATTCGTGTTCTTATCCGAGTTTAATAATTCGGGCCACCCCGGGTTAATTAAATCCATCATTAGTGCTCTTCTTGAGAGCTGCTGTACCAGCTCAAGCGTGTTCTTTTCATTCTTTGATCTACCATGATCAGCTACTATGGCAAGATCGAGATCCAACTCTCGCCACACCAACGGTTCCCGCGGCACGCAGCTCGTCGCAACCGGGAACGGCCCCAACGGGGCCCCCAACCTCCAACTGACCGCCTCCGTCAGGTTGGGAGGAGACCTGAGGGATCAACTCAACAACCACCGCAGCGGTGGTGCACTACTTCCCGCCGCCCCCATTCAGAATCTCGCGCTCTTCCAGGTGGGGGTGGAGGTCTTTCAACAAGCTTCCACGGCGCTAGCCCGAGTCGCGAAAGGTCTTCAGGCAGGTGCGCAAGCCGACCCGGACGTCACCCAAAGGGTGTCGTCCCCGCCTCCATCTCCCTCCAGGGCGCGCGGTCGTCTGGGCACCCGACCAACCCAGGCACCCGCCACCTAGGGAGAGGTAAACTCGCCCCGACCAATGGACATGCAAGGGGGAGTTGACTCCCGGCGGGACCGCCATCACGTCGACGATGGAAGGAGGCCAACACAACCCAAGCCCCGTGTGTCGGCTCGGGACAGGTTGGGTCCGAGGCCGACCGCCAACGGGCCACTGCCGGCCTAGGTCGCCACAGCAAGAACCAATCGCCCGGAGGTCGCCAAGCCGCGGACCCCGAGCCTCGCCGCGATAAGAGTCATGCTCAAAGAGGTCGCCGGGTCGCAGGTGTAACACCCCACTTTTCTAACTCTTAATTACATCTCTAAACAGTCATTAACATAAACTATCCAGCGGAAAACTAGAAGATAAGTAGTGGGAGTGTCACCGCCACAACCACCACTCTTGGGTGATTGCACAGGCTAAAAGGGGTAAAACTACAAATAAGATTAAGTCTGGGAACTAAAAGTAAATACTGGAAAAGTAAGGGGGAAAAACGTCACCCCAACACAGTCTACAACAATCCTCCAACATAAAGTCATAAGTCTAAATCCATAACATGATCATAATTGAAACTAGAGTTTGGACATCTCAAACTAAGAGACTAATCTAACTCGATCTCTTCTCACTGCTGGGCCCACCTGAAAGGGCTTTTGCAAGCAACACATAGACAAATAGGAAAAACACCCGTTAGCACGAAGCTAAGTATAACCACACTCAACCCTGTAAAGCATTCTAGCATATACTTTGATAACATTTGATATCTTTATAGCAATAAACTAATCTCAATCATCTTAAGACTTATCTCATTCTTTCTAAATGCTTGTACCCTATAATATCAGCTGGCATGCTTATATACGTATAAGACTGATCACGTATATTCATCAACATATAGACTTCTCAAATAGCTTATCAAACAATACATGCTTACAAATAGGATCATGTTAAAGGATTATACCACAGGTATTTACATGCTTTCACATTCTTACCACATAACTTGCTAAGTGGAACTTCTACTACAACACGGTAATCATGCTCAAGGAATATCTCAAGTTAAACTTCTCATTAAACAATCTTTTACGATGCTCTACTCGTATACACTCATGTATAACATTATGATCATGCTTCTTATGCAATCTCGTGCAACAATATATCATACTCTTATGCAATCTACTGCAACAATATATTCATACTCATATGCAATCTCGTGCAACAATATACTCATGGTCATATGCAATCTAGTGCAACAATATATCATACTCTTATGCAATCTCGTGCAACAATATACTCATGGCCATATGCAATCTAGTGCAACAATATATCATAATCTTATGCAATCTAGTGCAACAATATATTCATACTCATATGCAATCTCGTGCAACAATATACTCATGGTTATATGCGATCTAGTGCATCAATATTATCATACTCATATGCAATCTCGTGCAAGAATATACTCATGGTCATATGCAATCTAGTGCAACAATATATCATACTCTTATGCAATCTAGCGCAACAATGTGCTCATGTTCATATGCAATCTAGTGCAATAATATAATCATATACTCATATATAAATTAGAGTACTTTATATGGAGGTTTCTTTGTTACTTTCTCGAGTCTCTCTTGACTCTCTTTCTTTCTCTCGAGTCTTTATTGACTCTCATACTTGAGTCTCTGTTGACTCTCTTTCTTTCTCTTATACTCGTAGACGGTTTAGGGTTTCACAGAAGTGTGAATTACCCCATCGGGAACAGCATGATTCCGACCCAATATCTCCTACCGTCTACGGAACCAATCTCGTGGTTCAAACTCTGTGGAATCAGGTATCGAACTATTAGTGTGCACACCCCCTAACCAGGATTCCAAGCCCAGCGGGAAGTTTCCAACCTCGTAACGTGGGGATACGCCGCGTTACATATACTGGGACCACAATGTCCATAAATATCTCCCGAGAGGAACATAGTCCAAACGGTATCCTCCAAAACCTCACCGAAATAGATAATACATAAATATATCTCTCATGCATCAATCTCATGCATGCAACAATTCTACTACTTCTCAATGCATCAAAGAATGATATACCACATGCTTATGGTTTTTGAAAGTATTCTTGGACTCACGTTGGTCCCTTATGCATTTTTGAAATATGACTCATGTAAAAAGCCAGAATGCTCTATAACATGTTTCTAAATCATGTATAAAATAACATGAAGTATTCAAGAATATATCATCATGCTCGGTTTGCAACATAGCAATTTCTATACGTTTCACTCAACAAATATGTTTCTATTCTCATTGATCAAATAATACAATGTAATCATGCTTTCATAATAAATCATATTCTCAAAGGATCATGCTTCTTTACTCAATTAAAATATCATCATATCACAAAATCAACAATTTCTCAAACACAGAGAGCTTAGCAAAATATGCACTGTGTAACAATTCTTCACATAAACCTTCATAACATATTTGTTTTTAATCCAAATTCAATGAAATCAAAGCCAAAACGTGCGTCGAGACGATCCCGAAGAGCCGAGCCACAAGGGCCCGTAACACTCGGTCCGAAACGACATGTAGCTGAGCCACAAGGGCCCGGCCACTGCACAAAATTTCTTCACAGACCATACTCAGGGACCTGGGGCGGGACTCTTCATGGTCCGCCCCTGGAGCCCCGTTGATGTGCCCAGACTAGGTAACAGCCCTCCTCTAGGGCCGTGCCCTAGTCCCGTGCCACCACGGCTCTAGCCGGCGACCTTTCTAATGGGTTGCGGCTAGGGCCGCCACTCTGATCTGGTGCACACTGTGTTGTGCACCAGATGTGATTTCACCTACAAAAACTCATCCAAACAATTCCAAAACAATCTCAACAACTCACAAACACATACTAGATCACTTCTAAGCATAAACACATCAAAAGTTCATAGTTTCTATTCATTTCTACTCAAAACTAGGCTTCACAGAGCCAAATCTAAAGAGGAATCCATGGGGTTGTACCTCTTGTAGTCTAGTCTTCTTGTTGGGATCTCTTCTTCCTCTTGACCTAGCTTGAGCCTCCTACACTTCCCAACACACCTTCTATCCTTAGCCTAGAACCTCAAAGATTAAAGAAAACTAGAAGAGAAAAGAGGCTAGAATGAAGGATGAA